ATGCCCTAAGTATTTGTGTGGGTCACCAGGGGCCGCAGGGCTGGGGAGGGGGGCGACACCCCATTGCACGCGGTTCGCGGTGGGGGCGACGCCGGTGTGGTTCCGGCGGCGCCGCGGAGATGAAAAGAGGGTCCTTCTGACCCTCTTCGAGATGGCGTCTCTCCCTCCTCGAACATCTTGACGGAGGGGCTCGGCGTGGGGTAGGTCCGGTTGCATTCGTTCGAGATCCCGAGTCCACCCCACAACGTCGAGGATGGTCACCGTAGGGTTTTAGCCGGTAAGAGTCCGGCACAACCCCGCTCCCCTCTGTGGGGGGCGGGGTGTCCATGAGGATTTCCCCACGTAAAAAAAAAAAGTACTTTTATCGTGCTGTGTGGTACGAGAATTTGTGTGCTATTTAAAATGCAGCTGAATCAAGTAAATGAGGAACCTAAGATTCCTGCAACATCAGGACCGAAGAAGCGGACTGGTAAGGGGGCGAGGCAGAGAAGATCAGATGCATTCAGAGAGCGGCTTGGATCCAAGAAAAGGGGCGAACTGCGCGAAGAGGAAATGCGACATCTCGGTATATTCGACGATTCGTGCGCCGAGTTGGAGAAGTCTCTAAAATCCTTATCCGTGATGGTTCAACCTAGAGACATCCCGATGCCCGTTGCCACCCGCGGAGTTGGGTTTGCAACCGTGGATGAGTTCAGTCGTCTATGCACGACTTGGAACCAACAGCAGATCGAGGAGATTTGCAGCATCCACCAGTATTACAGAGTCTCACTTTCATTAACCTATTACAAGCTATTTTTATCTCGTTACGACCAGGGAGAGATGGTGTCATTCGAAATAACAACAGACTTTCTCATGAATAAAGAAGTCCGTCAAATTCACTGATCTCTGGAGATCAGTTCTTCATTACTTTTTTGACAGAATAATGAAGACATATTAACACATTGGCGACGGATGACTCGTATACGCGTCATTCAAGTTCTTTACTTGGGTACGGATGACGCGTTTTCGCGTCATCGATATCTTCATATATTTGTCCCAATATAAATTTGTAAGACGTTATCAATGGTTCGATTTCTCTTCAGAAATTCTCTTCGAATTGAAAAGAGTATTTATGATTTTAACTTTCTATTATATTCCGCGATGATTGATACCGTGACTGTATATACAACGTTAGCGTGATGAGGTACACATTCGACGCTTGGGCGTTGCTTCAGACCATAGTGACAGATTTCAAGTAACTCTGTTTATATCAGAATAAGATATTTCTTTATGGTTGGTACAGTGACCCTGCATTGACAGGGCAAGAGTAAAATCTTTTAGTCTGTTCTTGGCCTTTGCAACTATTATTGCGTCGCACGGAGACACACGGATATCTCACGTGCGTCGCTCGAAGGCACTTCTGTACCTGCAAGTGACCATCGGCGAGAGGGCGGTTACCTTTTCTTCAAAATACAGACTATGATTAACCAATAGCATATTTCAACCACCTCTCTTCGCCAACTCGATACATGTCAATCAACTTATCCGCGGGTCTCATCCCCCGAACGTGACTTAAGTCACCTCACAACCGAAAGGTCTCAGATTACGAATAAACATCACCTAAGGAACGACGAAAAAGAACAGTGTCTGTATCCATTTTCAACGAGGTTCAGAATTTTTAATTCAAAGCAGAACCATAGCGAGCTCAGAACCGCACAAGGTCGAACGCTCGCAACAACTATCGTATGTGTTTCTGAGCAGTCAGTGCTTTCCTGTGTTTGAATAGTAAAAATTTTATTTGTTATATTTTTCTAAAAATCCAAAAAATGGAGGAAGAATTCCTTTCGGATATCTGTGAAGACTTTATCAGACGTCGCTGAAAATGACAGTGAAGACTCTGTATTGTACCGTTACGACGTAGGGAGGGTTTATTACGTGTGCTTTCCTCGTCGTCATCAAGTGAAGAAGAAATAGAAATAGAAGAAAATAATACGGATTGGTCGGAATTTGATCCGGAAAGACATAACGAACAATTCGAAGGTATTACTGGAGTGAAAATCTTTCCAGACAATCCTCAAAGTCCCGGGAAGACATAACGAACAATTCGAAGGTATTACTGGAGTGAAAATCTTTCCAGACAATCCTCAAAGTGTTGCGGATGTGACCTCTTTATTCATTGGGGATGATTTATTTGAAAAAATTGTGCTTGAAACAAATCGTTATCATAACACAAATAGCCACAGATATAAAAATCCTGCACATAGATCTAAATGGGTCGATGTCACAGTTCTGGAAATTAAGAAAGCATTTGCCCTTATAATAATTATAGGCTTAGTGAGGAAAAACAAGATACACAATTATTGGTCCACAAATCCACTTATAGCAACTTCAGTTTTTGGCAATACTATGAGTAGAGATCGGTTTTTACAAATTTGTACTTTCCTGCATTTCACTAATAACACAGTTGTCCATGCAAATAAAAACAAGCTAATAAAAGTGCAGGAAATTATAGATTATTTTCTAGATAAATTGAAAAGTGTATATGAACCAGGACAGAATCTATTCCCCATGGAGGGGAAGACTTCAATTCCGAGTTTACAACCCTAGTAAAATTATAAAATATGGCATTCTCAATAGAATGGTTTGCGAGTCCAAAACAGGATATATTTGTAATTTGTATTCTTTATTGTGGAAAGAATGTCAAGTTGGAGAACACCATCATGAACGTAATGGATCAATACCTAAACAAATGGCATCATCTATATGCAGATAACTTTTACAATAGTATAAATTTAGCTTCTATATTATTATCACAAAGGTCAGACTTTATGGGACAATAAGAACAAATCGGAGAATCCCAAATTCTTTAAAAGACGTACAACTACAACGTGGAGAAACATGCCACAAGAGAAAAGGAGAAATTATGCTCCAGATATGGAAGAGTGGAAAAAAACGCAATATTCAAATGATCTCTACCATTCATAACGCTAAAATGATAAATTCGAATAAAATTGACCGCAACACGAGGCTTCCTATCCAAAAACCTCATTGTATAATAGATTACAATCAATATATGAATGGTGTCGACCTTGCCGATCAATATCTCGCATACAACCCTATCTTTAGAAAAACTCTGAAATGGACTAAAAAAGTATTTTTCTATCTTCTTCACTGCGCCTTATTTAATTCATTCCGCATCTTTCAAATTCTTAATCCACAGTCAAAAATGAGATTCCACGATTTCATGCTGAATATAGCTGAAGCATGGCTAGAACTATCAACTTCCGCACGAGCACCTCGCTTCGATCCACCGGAAAGACTGACAGGAAATATGAAACAACACGAACCTGTAAGAATTTTGAGCAAAAATAAGAAAGTCAGAAGAAGGTGTCGTGTGTGTTATTCACATAACAGACGTCGAGAGACTTGTTATATGTGTAAAGATTGTAACGTACCGTTACATCTTGGTAACTGTTTCCAAACGTACCATACGAAGAAAAAATATTAATTTTTATATGTTACCGTAAGAAGAATAATAAATATGTATTTCTTAACAAATAATAAAAAGGTTGAGAACCTCTGACGTTTGCACTTTAAAAAGTATACATTTTTACGCACAAAAGTTATTTCCACCTTTCCCCAAAATTCCTTTGTGAAATATTAATTAGTTAAAAAGTTATACCAGTTATTTCCCACGTCAAACGCGGCTCCGAACGCCCCGTCGCCAATGTGTTAAACAGGATAATTATCTGTGACGAAAAATGGATTCTCTACGACAATCGACGACGTTCTGCACAGTGGCTGGACGCAGATGAAACTCCAAAACATATGCCGAAACCGAACCTTCATTCGCGTAAGACATTGGTGTCTGTCTGGTGGTCAGCAAAGGATGTTGCACATTATTCATTTTTAAAAAAGGTGAAACCATAAATGCTGATAAATACTGTCAGGAAATTGATATAATGTACGAAAAACTGTGTGTTCAACAGCCGGCATTAGTCAATAGACGTGGTGTGTTATTGCTTCACGACAATGCTCGGCCACATATTGCGAAACAAACTGTAAAAAAATTAGCAGAGTTGAAGTGTGAAGTTCTTCCTCACCCTCCTTATTCGGCTGACCTCTCACCTACTGATTACAATTTCTTCAAGCACCTAGATGACTTTTTGAATGGAAAAATGTTCAAAGAAGAATGTGCTGTAAAAACTGCATTTGATGAATTTATTGCCTCACGTTCATTATAGATTTCTTCCAGAAAGGCATTGGGGCACTTGCATCGCGATGGAAGAAGTGCATTGATGTCGATGGAAATTATTTCGATTAATGGAATGTGAATAAAGCTTGTAAAATAAAAGTTTACGTTAAAGATTCAAAAACGGCCATTTCATTCGCAACAACCTAATAGAAGAAATCCCGATGCCATTGAAAAGATAAAAAATGGCATATGGGCAACGTATTTTCATATGAGCTCGTCACACGAAAATCCAATAGTTGGTGCAAGTGACGTAAAGCAGAGGCTGCGGGTACGCTGGCATCTTCCACAGATAATAAAACGCCTCTAAAGGAAGAAGTACTCTTAAAAATAAAGCCCATTCATGAGGATTTGAGCTCATATGAATTACTAGAAACATGTGTGGGAGCCAACACCTAAAATAGTAACGAGAGTCTCAATTCTCTAATATGGAGTTTTGCACCGAAGCATACACATTCTACTGTTGGAATCCGAGGAGGAAAGTTGATATCGATTATATTTCAACAATATAATTTTTATTTTAACGATGACACTTATATTCCCGGACTCCGAATTAACAACGCGCGAACTTCACGAAAAGAAGAGACGCTGTAGTTTTCTGCCGTGTACTAGATCGACCGCTCTTAACTATACTCGCTTGGTTTCTACTATAATGATCTTCTAAGGGATTTTTCGGGTATACTTATAAGGAAGGGATTTAAGGGAGAAGGTGAACTTGATTCTGGTGACGAATTGCTGGACAGGACTTTGAAGGGACAGTTAGCGATCGATGAGTAACTTGTTTTTCGGTGTTATGGAGTTAATCTGGGCTTAAGAGTGACTTCGTGACTCAATATCAATAGGCGGTCGGTTATCCAACACTACTATGCACACAACATAACTAATTGCAACATTTCTGGCTGTTTGTATATTCACTAAGGACTCTGGTCCAATCTGTGAGTGGGATATTGCACACAACTTTGTCCTTCGCTGCATTAGGTGTAGGTATTCGAGCAGTCAGCGCAGTGAAAAGTGCTGTAACGTTCTTCGGACGTGCTGATAACGATTGAATCAATTCGCTGGGATGGATAGAAGATTGTGATCGGGAAATGATATGATGGAATTGCCGATTAAAAAATGTCCCGGCGTTAAAGGAGATAGATCGGTGGAATCGTTGAATACGGGAGATATAGGTCGGGAATTCAAACATGCCTCAACCTGAATTAGCATGGTTTATAATTCTTCGTATCTTAATCGAGTTTCGCCAATAACTTGTCTCAAATGGTATTTTACGGATTTAACTGCCACTTCCGATAAAACCCCGAAACGTGGAGCATGAGGAGGTATTAAAAGCCCTGAATAGTTTGCAGTACCTGCAGCTGAATGTGATTGTCAGGTAGAAATTTCGTAATTCGTTCATTAGCGTCCGTCATTTAGTTCGTTAAACCCATTAGTTCTATTGTCTGAATATATACTATGGCACAGTTTCTGACGCGAAATTAATCATAGCAGGCCATTTAAGAATGCCTCGGTAGTTAAGTTGTGTGCCAATTACATATGAATAAAATTTTGGTTGTACAGCAAACGAAAATACATAGGTACGCCTTCAAAGTAGTCCTTGCACGAGTCCTTTTCTTAATGAATACCGGACGTACGTAATCAACACCGCAGGTAAAGAAAGGCCGGGTTGGCGTAGTCCTTGCTGCAGGTAGATCTCACATGATGTTAGTCGTAGTAACGAGTCTAACATTAAAACAGTCTATGCAATTTCCAAATATACCTTTTACTGAATTTTTTCTACCTAACGGTCAGTATCGTGTATGCAGTAAACAAGTAGTTGTATGACAACCCGCGTGAAAAAGGCGTAAATGTTCGCTGTGTCGGCTGTCTTATGATCAGCTTCGTGGTGTGATGTTTTGCTGGCAGTATAGCTGGATGTTTCAGAGAAAACCAAATCCTCGCATGTCTCTATCTACCGCCCACGCTGATTAATCCAGTTTGATCCAGGAATAGATCCAAACAGTGCACAGGGCTTGAATTTGAAACTGGTTGTCTTAATTTTAGATGCTTATGTTCACACGAAAGGTAGTCTGACTGAAGTCTACGCATCAGAGTAAATTCAGTTTGGTCTAGCTTCTTTGTAGATAAATGGGGTATTCCCCTTTTCTTGATTCAACGTGTCACACGATTATGGATGCGCGTTCGAGTATTCTGGACAAATTGCAGACAATAGGCAGCCATACGTAGTAATTTTGATGACGATGAAAATTTATGAAAGAAATCTTATATCACCAGTCAATGTATGGACCGCTTCAGCTTTCTCAGCTAGTTGGTCTGGCATCGAGTGATGTTCGTATTCAAAGGTCCAATTGGCCGTGTTACCATGCATGCCACTAGAGATCGGCACTAATTAATTCGGAGGGATTGATTCCACGCGATATGATGTCTGCGGGATTATCATTTGAAGACACATATGACAAAACTCCTCGCGAAAGTTCCTGTACATATCACGACAGTCTATTGGCGCCGAAGTTTTTCCATTTATGGGGCGATACCCTTATCCAAGTAAGGATGATCGTCGAGTCAGTCCAGTAATACTCGTCGTATATAATTTTCATAGAATTTCTAATTTGCGCGATTAGTTCTGCAAGCAGCGATGCCCCACATAACTCCAATCGCGGTAAGCTGACACTTCTTAACGGTGCTACTCGCGATTTACCGCACAACAAATGTGAAGTCCATTGTTCATTCTCGTCCAGTGTCGTAACGCCTCGTCTGAAGCATCACAGAATCCGTGCACTTCGACCCTTGATGTCCTTGTAGGTAGCGCACTTCTCGGAATGATTATGTGATTAATCCCTTGAAGTTCGGCCCGAAAGGATATTCATTGTGAGTGCAGATACTGAGATAGAGATTTGTTCCATGAAATTTGCAATTGCCACAGTTCTTGCAAGAATATTTTTGCTTGAATTGTGACTGGTTCAATAAGTCAGAGGGGGTTAAAGATCTACAAGATCTGCTATAATATCCACTCGGTGACATGTCGACTTGAAATCTCGTGAACCGTGTATAGAAATATATCCATTTCCGATTCCCAGCAAAAACCAAGAGTTTCTGAATCTCTTCCTGTGACTACTTGATAAACTCTTGGTTGAAATTTCGTTGCTTGCAATATACGTTTATCATTGGTGGCCCATTTACAAAGTTCCAGAAATGAGGCACCGAAAATCCAGGATAAGCATGTTTTTAAGTCTTAGGTCTTTCGCTTCTTCCAAAACCTAGCCATCTAGTCGTGCAATTGTTGGCTGATCACTATAAAATCTCGTGAACAGTGTATGGAAATATATCCATTTCCGATTCCCAGCAAAAACCAAGAGTTTCTGAATCTCTTTCTGTGAATACTTGATGAACCCTTGGTTGAAATTTCGTTGCTTGCAATATACGTTTATCATTAGTGGCCCATTTACAAAGTTCCAGAAATGAGGCACCGAAAATCCAGGATAAGCATGTTTTTAGGTCCTTAGGTCTTTCGCTTCTTCCAAAACCTAGCCATCTAGTCGTGCAATTGTTGGCTGATCACTATGTGACAACTTGCGCGCCCTTGTGTGTTGTGAGTAGAGACAAGTGCAAGTTACCCACAACGATCCAACCGAATTGAATTTTTTGTAACGACGGAAGGTTTCGTTCTAAAGAATGACATTCGATACATAATATATCCGAGAACAAACCTGCCCCAATTATCATATCAATTTCTCCTGGTCGATTATATTGGAGATCTGCCAACATAGAATTAGTTGGAATGGGCATTGATGATGAGTCAATGGCAAGGTTAGGAATTTTGTCCGTGATCTTCAATAGTGCGTGGCATGTAATTAACTTATCGAGTTCTCAATTTCTCCTGGTCGATTATATTGGAGATCTGCCAACATAGAATTAGTTGGAATGGGCATTGATGATGAGTCAATGCAAGGTTAGGAATTTTGTCCGTGATCTTCAATAGTGCGTGGCATGTAATTAACTTATCGAGTTCGTTAAATTTGATAGTTTAATCGATGTGCCAGTTGGTCTATACCCGAGACCTTAAGGTGTGTGTTGGTACACGGAAGTCCTAATTTTTTGACTAATCCTTCATTCCTTGGTGTGTTATACGGCAGGACTCAGCATGGAGCAAGTATTTGTCCCGTGAGAAACATATGATTGTGTCGCAGTATGGTCTCGGGGCAAGCTTATGGACGTACGTACATTGTTCTTTGATGAATGACCGTGCGAAGGAAACGATGCCTTTATGACCAGGGACGGTTCAGGTGTGGCATGGTTAATATGTAAAAGAGTATGATGACTTTTCAAACATTTTCGGCATGTTCCACGTGTACAATCTACAGTCCTGTGTTCCATCCGTAAACAGTTGACACATGCGCGTAGTTCTTGTATCTTGCTGTCGGTGATAATTTCAGGAAGATGTTGCAGTTGTATAATCGATGTTCCCCTTTACACAGTAAACATGCCGGTGCCAAATTTGCGAGAGGAGCAGTGACGATTCTGTGTCGATTTGTCTTCGTTTCTCTGGCGATAGTTTGCTTGTGTATAAACATCGCTTTGTCCGCGCTGACCATCTCAAGATACCTGCAGTGTTTTTCGAGAAATTTTATGCTGTTGCGCAAAGACTACCCCGAATGTCCGACGCTATGCGTTTCCATTCGCGCCGCGTAACATTGTCTAGTTTCGTAGTTAATAAGTACACTACCATACTGCCACATTATTTTTTCAGTTCGCCGAGTGAGGTCAGTGCGCTTAAGTAGTTTTCAGTAGTCAAAATAAGTTGTCGCAGTCCGGTTAAAGTCTCTTTAGTCAAGTACCTTCCACAATACGTGCAAATCGTGGTGTTCTTCAACTTTCAACGTCTTCCACGCTGGAAGGTAGTTGGCTTCGGAGAGGCAGAATGAATTAACACTTTCAGGACGGTGTGACTCACCGGTGGGTCATCGATGTTCCTGTTTGCTGACGTGACCCATTCAAAATGATGGCAAAAAAAATTGAATATACGGTGTGATCCAACAGTGGAATACCACATTTTCAGGTTACATACTGAAAAATTAAGTATCAATAATAACGCACACTTGAATCATAAGAAACGCTGGCAATAGTGAGCGTTTCGTGAATTTCTCTGCCGTCCTGAACGTGTTAATGACTGATGCCGCGTTACCCTTTATCGACGAGTGCAAATAATGAAATTTCATACGCGGTCCAGTAATAAAAGTCGATGGGCTAGGCGTGAGAATTTGAAGTGTCGAAATGTTGGGATTTCGAGATTGTGGCTGCATACGATTAATTAGGTCCCAGCCGCAGTCACAATCTGAAAATACCCGTTTCCAAATTTCTCGCGCTCCACGGTATAGGGCAAGGGACCCCTTCTACTCCGCAGAGCTGGAAAGATTGCTCCTGAAAGGAATGCAGGTCTGATTGGATCACATCCCCATAAGCCCAACTTCTCTAAGGTTTGAGCTTTTAGGCGGCGCGAGGGAAGTTCCCCCTCTTGCCCCGTGAGAAATATTTCCAGCTCTGCATAGTGCATGTTCTTCTATTCTGGCCTGCAGTCTCGAATCTTTCTTATACTGCTTCAAATTTTTATAACCGTTTTTGCAATGGGCTATATGATTTTGACTCATCATATCATCCGACAATACCCTTGAAACGCGTTAAAGACACTTTAATTAGTCTGTGTTCAGAAATAGATGCTTCTAATGTAGACTTCATTTTCTTTATCTATGTTAACTTGGTTGAACTATGTTTGACTTACGGTCACGTGAGG